AATTTTATAGCAAGAAATTAAAAAAAAAAAAAAATAAATATTCAAAAAAAAAAAACTAATAAAATATACATATGTAGAAAAAAAAAAAAAAAAAAAAAAAAAAACTTCTAAATGTCAAAAAATTTATTATTAAATTCTGACAATTATAAATTGTAAATTGAAAACGACAAAAGCATTTAGCTAAATGCTTGATTCTCTGTAATGTATGCAGCTCAACCGGCTAATACCCTGGCCAAGTCCGGTTTCAGGCCATTGCTATTTGAATGAATGGAAATTAGCCCAGAGTCCCCCTTGGCCTAGTTACCCAAAATAGCTGAACATAGCTTAATCACGCTGTACAAATGTGTGAGTGCATTGTACGAATTGTTGCACACGATGACACGGCTTATAAGTAGGTATCATGTATCATCATGTACCAACTACCATGCACCATCTACCATGTACCATGGCTGCATGTCCGTTCACAAACGTGCAGGATTCTCAGCTTGCCGTAGGATTGGCTTCGACTTTGGCTACGGCAACGAAAGTTTAGCGCATTGCAAATGAGGCATCGCTTCATGAATGAGCCACATGCATGCATGCATGCATGTATGCATATACAAACACATGCGTGTGTGTGTGTGGGCTGTGTTTATGCGGCTCATTGTGGCTGTTGTAGCTGCAGTTGTTGTTGTTGTTCTTGTTGTTGTTGTTGAAAAGCGCAGTCCGTGCCAACACCCCGAGCAATGCAAATATATGCACAAGTGGATATAAGTACATTCAAGCTAGCATCAGCTGCCATTGACGAGGGACAAGAGATGCAGCGCATGCAGCTCCTGCTTGTTGTTGTTGTTGCTTTTGCTGTTGGGCGTTGAAATGCAATTGGCCCGAGTCTGTTTGGCGCTCTGTATAAACAGCTAGCTGGCTGCATCAAAGAAAACCCCGCACGCATTGCCAAATGACCAAAGTCTAGTCGGGCACCAACAGCATATGCCACGCCCACTAATGGAGGCCGTCGACGGCACACTGCACACTGCACACTGCACCATCATCAGCAGCTAGCTAGCTCTGAGCCTTGAGGATATTTCAAATGCGACGCAACGGGACAATTCGTCAAGCACAATCAAGTGAGCAGCAGCTACGCCCCTCTCCCCCTCTCCTCTATATATATATATGCACGTATATGTATGCACGCCTCGCTGCATTTACCATGTCAACAGTGTTAAGCAGCATGGAGCAGGACATTTGCTCCTCATAGTCAGGCAAAAAGCTCAGCCAGATGGAAAAATGACCGCATCGCTCGAAAGGCAATTAAAACGGAGCAGCARTCGCAGWTTCAATCGAGAATTCATTTGACATTAAATGCGATAATATATATATATAGATATATATTTATATGTGTATGTGTATATGTATTTGTGTTTGTGTTTGTGGAGCTATGTATGCGCTATTGATGGCATGAATACATTAATTAATAATTAAGGCACATCGGAGGGAAACTGCATTCAGCCAGCCCCAGCTAGCCAGACTCCTGGGACTTGTCGAACTCCTCGATGCGATTCTCCAGCTTGTCCACCTCGAGCCACATTAGCGAGGCATCGTGCCACGGCGGCGGCGGATCGGCATTGATGATCTCCATCAGGTTGGCGAGATGCTGGCGATCCTTGTCGATGGCCAACTTGCGGCGCTGGTGCATAACGGCACGCAGATTATCCATTTGACTGTCAGCGGCCGAGCGTTTGACCCCGGTCTTGATGGTCTGACAGGCCTTGTTCCTTTTGTCGCACCTGTCCGACTCGACGCACACCTCGGATGCAATGTCCAGGTTGTGCTGGGGCTTCTGAAAAACGCTCCTGGGGCGAGCGATTTTGCGTGGCACCGGCACAGTTTCCAGCGAACTCAACTTCAATTCTTCAGTTTGTGTGCCCACCGAGGCGGGGGCCCCGGTTGACTCCGGCAATTCGGATGGATTTGGGGCCGCATTTGGACCCGAATCTCCATCCGGATTTGGTGTCGGGATAGGAGCTGGCTCCGGATTTGGATTTGGAGCCTCCTCCGGATTTGGATTTGGAACCTCCTCCGGATTTGTATTTGGAGCCTCCTCTGGATTTGGATTTGGAGCCTCCTCTGGATTTGGAGCCTCCTCCGAAGCTCCAGCCAGACTCAGAGTTTCAGCCGGATTCAAATTTTCAGCCGGATTCAGATTTTCAGCCTGATTAAGATTTTCAGCCTGATTAGGATTCGGATTTACTGAATCTATGATATTCATTTCCATCTTAAACAACTCAACTTGCTCAACTCAAAGAAAGTCTTTTAATAGACAATAAAAAAAAAAGAAAAGAAAAACTTTTTTTTCAAATTTAATTTTCAGAGACAGAGAGATGTTTTCACTAGCTCAGCAAAAACTAAAAAGAACAAATCAGGCTTCGGCCGATTAACATCAAATTGGTGACAGTTAATCCATGGCTATCCTTGTTGAGCACAAATCTTAACATTGCATCAAAATTCTTGCGAGACTCGCATGTTTATTTTGACAGGAGAGCACTTTGAAATCATTTCCATTGCATACTTTTAAGAGCAAACTAAAATTCTAACGGAACAACATGCCAATTTGAGCATTTTCTCTGCTATAGCATTCCTGTCAATCATTTAAATGACAGATGAATATTTAGACACGTAATTAAGAAAGAAAAAGAGCCAAAAGTTGGCTGATAATGGAACCACGGCGATTCCTCACTTAGCTATACGCCCTATAGACATCCCACTCTCTTTTTCCAATTACTTACATTTATGATTGTTTTATTCAGTTAATTGTTGCGGCACATTCTCTTAGACTCTATAGCTAGTGAGTGGGCCCAATATATAAATCCTAGATCTAAAATTACTAACTTAGTTCTACAGTATATCAGGTTTATTGGATTCCCTGGCGGTGCAGCCTTCGCCTGCTTCACGCGCTGCCCTGGATGCGTTTTCAGTCTATTCGCCCATCTGGAGCTGAGTCGCCCAGTGAGCTCGCCGAGGAATCGCTAGATGCCCTTTTATCCTCAGAAGCCAATTAGCTCCTGTCCATCTTCGTGACGCTTTGTCTTGCCAAATTTGAATTTCGTTGATGGAAGCGCACGCCGCAGAGCTGAACTGATGGTGGTGCTCCACCTTTCGGGCCAGCAGGAGGCCTCTTCTGCAGATATGTCACGCGACCACCTGGCGATGTCATCTGTGTGGGTCACTTTAAAGCAGCTCCCATAGCGTGAATATTAGCAGGTAGTTTTTTTCTGTACGAGGAATGTTTAATGTGGGAGCTCTCTCTGTGCTTGCTCTCTCCCTCTCTCTCTCTCTCTCTCTCTCTCTCTCTCTCTCTCTCTCTCTCTCTCTCTCTCTCTCTGAGCTTGCTTTCTCTGTGCTCGCTCTTTCAATGCTTGATCTCCCAATGCGTGCTCTATATATGCGCGTTCTCCTTAACTCTTGCAATTCTGGTTCTACCAATGCGCGTTCTTCCTGGCTCCCAATGCAGTCTCCATATGAGCTAGTTCAATCTGCGCTCGCTCTTACAATGCTTGATCTCCCAATACTGGCTCTACCTATGCGCATTATTCCTGGCTTCGGCTCTACATGCGCAGTCTCCCTGTACTCGCTCTTCCAATACAGGCTCCATATATGCTCGTTCTCTCTGTGCTCACTCTCCCTCTCTCAATGCTGGTTGCACATCTGCTTGCTGCGTCTGAGCAAAGGCAATGCTAAATTCAAGCTCAAGGCGGACAGACGTTGCTGTGATATGCTGTGGTACCCATATCAGAGGGGAAAAGCCGCAAACTGCGGTCGCATGCAAAAAAAAAAAAAAAAGGAAAAAGAAAAAAAAACCTTGAACTTTTTTATAAGCATAATACGACTTACCATGTATGGTTAGTGATAATACGCCGTTGGAGACACGGAAGAACCTTCATCATATACACATAATATACATGAATAAATGATAATATAAATCATATCAAATCCAATAGGCAAGCAAATTAGCTAGTAAACCTAAATAAATACTAAAACTTAAGCAGTCTGAGTATTATACAATATTATATAATAAATTAGCTAACATATATATTTATAATA